GCTTTGTTTCTTTTCCCACGATATAAAAGCTGACTAACATCAGCAGTCTACCATTTCCTTTTCTTATTCGTTAATTGAAGCATATGGGTGATCTGTTCCTCCGGTGAAATATCTGACTGCATCTAGTAATGATATGATATGGTGTGATTTAGTCTGTGATACAAAATTCAATTATGGGATCTAGGAATATACCGACACTATCGCAAGTAAGCGTCCTGGTCTCCGGTGTTTTTCACGTATGTAATTAGATCTCTCTGTTGGCAACATGTCAAGCGTAGTTTATAACACATGATATTCGCGCTGTATAATAAGAATTAAGGTTGTAGTTCGTATAAATGCAATAAACAGTATTTATATACCGATTTTACATTAAGTAAATACGCATGTAGGATAATTACATATTCAGCCTACTTTGTAACACATGAATTATCCTGATCTATCTGACTTATATGTAGTGGACATACAGCAAAAGAGTTTTGTGATGGTTTTTACAATAGACAATTTCTCTTAAACTTTGGGTTTAATCGCTGCAAGGTTTTCAATGAGGTAAATCAAAATAAAAATAACCGCAAATAGTCATACTCAGTTCTTTTTATCTGAAAGTACGTAGTTTCATACCGAATATCTTCTATTGAAGCGAGATTTCATAGTCCAAAGTTGCCATTCAATAGGCAAAAGACGATGATCGTTACAGTCTGAGCGTTTAACTTAGACAATATTTCCTAGGTGTAAATTGGGATTATAACTAAAGATGTAATTGTTATGAAACGATTATATTATGGTGCTGTTAACTTGAAACACTCTTTAATCTAGGTGTCTAATGACTTGAAACCCTAATCTTATTTGGAAAATCTCGAGTGTGCTTTATTTTTTCTTCTTCTTGTGAAATTTATTCTAAGAACACCCCCAAGAATATGACACCAACCGGTTGAAAAAAAGACATTGCAAAGATAAACAAAACAACAACAACAACAACAACAACAGAAAGTGCAAGAAAACACAAAGAAACGTCTGCTTTTTGTTCAGAATAGGAAGAAATTTTCTTGTTTACTTTTCATCTAATTGATTTTACGTTTGTATGCACCATATTGGGATGATGCTGGGGATAAAAACATATTCGTATACGATCTATAACGTAAGAGTACACTGATGATTGTTGACCAGTGAGCGGCGACCAAATATACCAAACCGAGATAAATAGCGATGAATATGGCTAAGACAAGATCGAAGATAGCTGGTTTGATACGATAAACGTATAACTGTCGTCCTTGATCATCGTCGCCGTCGAAAAAGACGAACTCGGGATCCTTTTTATTCGGACGAATCGTTGTTTTCACAACATTGCTTAAATATCGATGAGCATATTGCTCCAGTGCAAGTACGACAGGATGAGTTTTGGTTAACAAGGATGGTGTTCGCGAATAATTTGTTAAAAATGTCAGCCATTGTTTGGTGAATGTCACCTGATCGTAATCCGACTGTTGATCCGATAAAAGATAATTTTGATCAATGATGGGAAAACTAACATCGGTTTTATTGAAAATTAAACGAATGAGTGCATCGCTGATGTATTGATAGTTACGTTCGATAGATGCGAGATCAACTTCACCGTAAACGTCACTAATCGATGAATGTGAACATGATTTGGATGAATTCAAATGCGAAAAGGTGAAAGCGGGAAGCTTCGCCCATGAGTATTTTTCATGTTCCCACGCGACAAAGTCGCTCGTTTTTAAGATTTTCTTATGAATTTGTTCGAATGTTAATGGACCGTGTGTTGATTTCTCACTCAATTGCGTCAGAAGTTCACGTAGAATACCGCCCTAGAAAAAAACCGGTCAAAAGAAAGCAGACAATGGGGTTTCTCAGCTCGTACTGTTTGTGTGTCTTTGGGTGGTTTTGAAACATGCATGTAAAGTTCATTGGATTGTCCTAATGAGTCTAAAACGAAAGATAGAATGTCAATTTGGTATTTGTGTACTTAGCAAACATATTCACCTAGACAAACAACAACATCGACGTCATTCGGAAGTTGTTGTTGTTGTTTTTGATCATGGTAATCATCGATCCACTTTTTACTTCCTTGATAATTCAGTTTTCCACCGGCAGCAAAGAGGAAATGAAGATTATACTTAGCTCGTGTTGTTTGTTTAGCATATAATTTGGAAAACAGACGAATTAATTTCAATAAAATTAAAACTCCACTGGCATTCGAATCAGCACCTTGTGCCAATCCGCTTGCCAAACCCATGGCATCATAATGTGTTACGAAAAGAATTTTGGGTAGACGTTCTTCGATTCCATGACCAACTAGCTTACCGACAATGTTGTACAAAACACTATCCGTTCGTTGGTTGTATTTGCCTGTATTAACAGACAATTGGTATCCGTCAGCTGTGATCATATCGTAGATGACGGCTAGAGCAGAATCTTTTGTTGAGTCGCGACGTGATTCGATCGATTTATATAAATCATTCATTTGTTGGTTTTCAGGCAGAAAATAAATAGGAATTGGAACACTTTCAGCAAGTAAAATGGTTTCCAAATCGCAGATTTCGGACTTTTGTTCGTCTGACCATTGCGTAGTTGTTGAAGGAATAACAACAAATAGGCCATTGATACCTTTGGAAACTAATGAACGAAATCGTTCGATGGTTAGCTTTTCAAGACGTATCAATGCAGCTTTGCGATTCAAATTTGCATGTGACCATAAACGAACTTCACTCGAAACAAACGCTTGACGACTGCCATAAGCTTGACCATATAAATCGTATTGAACCATTCGATAGGCTTTGAATTCTTGAGTCGAATCCACGAACGTAAATGGACTCAGGTAAGTTGGCGACAGTATGCATATGATTGGTAACCAATAGAAAAGAAAACCTGTAACTGTTGTTGCGCGAAAAAGAAACGTATCGAAAAGATCGTTTATTTCAAACATTGAGTATTAATTTTTGATTTATCTCTTCTATATGAGTTCGATGTACTTCTATCTAGAATAGGAAACGAGCGTTTTCTATAAGTATTCCAAACAACCGGTGCTTAAAAGTTCAACACAATTCATTTATCCTACCGTAAACATTTAACAAGAATATACCTACGTCTCAATTATCCTCATCATCGAAATCTTCAATGTCATCTTCCCCAAAAATATCTTCATTGATATTAAGTTTCTTTCTGTTCAAAACAAACGTATGTTTCAATTCGTCCAACATTGATATAGTATTTGACATAGGCAATAATTTTTCAAAAGGTTCTTCGTCCACAACTTCCTGTTTAATCTCTGGCAATGGCTCTTCTTCTGCTTGGTCAACAGCTCCAAGCAGGCGCTGTTCACGTTCATTCCAATCCTGTTTCTTGCCTTGAATAGCTGTTTGAAGTTCTTTCATCAGACAGTTCGTCTGTTCACGTAATAACTGCTGTTCGTAATCGTTAAGATCAAGACTATGAGTCATTTCATCGTTCTCACCATCATTGAACGATTTTCCAGTGTGACATATGAGAATTTCATCAGTTGTCTCTTCGATTTCATCGTCAAATCGATGGTAACTTGTGATATTCGATAGATGACTGTCTTTGGTCAGAAGTTCTTCGGAGTTATCTTCGTTAATTTTCACTATTGGCTTTGCTTGTATGACTTCAAGAGAATGAACAACTGTCTTTAAATCTTGAATAATGCGTTTTAATTGTTCGTGATTGGTAGAATTGCTTTCATTCATTTGAAATAACTGTTCACAGCTCGATCGAAGAAGAAAATAGGATGAAATTAATCGTTTTGGCGAAGGATTTGTTTCCAAATCGGTATAATCGATCATAATCGAACAATTTTGTTTGGTTTGATTTAATCTGTTCATAGCATCGAGTAGTTTCTTTTGAAAATTGTCGAACGTCCAGTATGAACTCGGGCGAGTTAAGTGTATTAGCTGAATGCATTCGTTGATTTGCAGATGAGCTAATTTGAAGATTGAATTGACAGAAACCTGATCGAATTGATTGGTCAATTTGTCGAGTTCAGTTGGATCCGATTGTATCAATGGGCCGAATTCTTCCAGATCAATGTAACAGATGAGTTGTTCGTTGGCTGTCGAGTGTTGCCGAGCGATCTGACGGGATAGTAAAAAAGATTTTTGTAATTCAACAAAGATCTGTTGGCGAAGTTGATGTAATTGATTTTCAAAGAGGGATGATGTCGGACGAATCAATTGAAAACCATGAATGTGCACTAACCATTGCTGATGAGTTTGAATCGTGTGGACAAACTCGCGCGTTGTTCGTAAGCAATTAAACCAAATGTAATAAATGTAGAGTGGAATGAGAAAGTCGATGATGATGAGAAATACGATGAACATGCAGAAGATGAAAGGAAATAGGAAAGTAAGAAGAATCGAGATCTGGAAGAAAAATCAATGCAATCGATAAAGAACAGAAGAAGAAGTTCACTTACGAGTAGAAGTGAAATGAGTTTAGTCGGAGATGGATGATTAAGGATGATGTTTTGATCGGTTTTAGGGCAAGTTTTATGAAGATAATGATACCAGAGTTTGTCTAGAAGGTATGCAAATATTTGGCGAAAATGCGATCGGAGATTGAGATGGAATAACAAATCGAAAAGTTTCGTTTTCGTCGGCGGTTCATGTAAGAAGTCAGTTGGGCTTTGTGCTTTCGATGTGCTCGTCGGAGTGGTCGAAGATAGACTATGTTCAGCCATTAGATCAGCGATAGGACCAACAAGTGGATCGACATCTTCATCGTACTCATCCATTGTGGATGAATAGAAATTAGGAATATCTGAAAGTACAAAAATATACTACTTTGATTGGAAGGAAAAACTTCCTCAGATAGTCTGACTTCTATAAGAATAATCTAAAACTATTAACGATTGTTATTATTGAACAAAATCAATGCTTTACAAGATTTCATAAACGTAACAACTAATTTCACGTATCTGACAAGATTATAAACAATATACAAGCAAAAATAAGACAAAAACACGATTGGTTTTATTTGACGTTGAGTATTTGCATATGATCATGAAGTTCCTCTGAAAAAGAAAAAGGAATTCTCTAGAGAATGAGTGAGAAACAAACACATACGAAGTCGTTCTACGAACGGTGCCATATTTTTCGTGTCTCGTTTCTTCTTCTTCAACCATAGAACATGCTCTTCATGCAATTTATCTGACTCATTTATCGTGCGTTTTTCATTTCGATGATTATTCGTTTCATCGTCATCGTCGTCATCATCATCATCATCATCATCGTCAATGTTGCGGTATTGGTAATACTTATTGACTTGCTGTTGAATGAGTTCGTCAAATGATGTTGTGTTCATATTGATATCCAGTTTCGACATGTGCTCCTGCTGCATACGCTTTATTTCTTCGACATCGCGTCGATAGATTTTCGCCAATTGCGTTTGATCAGAGATAAACCAGGCTAATTGTTGTCGAAGTTCATCTTCCTTAGTGATATAATTGCTTTCCAATGTTTCGAAACGAACTAACAGTTCGACAATGCCAGATTTGATCTGTGACAAAAAGGAAAATCCGAGTGTTGTTGATTGAAAATCGAACGATCTTACTCGATCGAATTCTTTTTTCAATTCGCCTGTGGAGTTTTTCTTTTCTTCGATACGTCGTTCGAGATCGATATTTTTCGTTGTTAACAGTCGAATTTCTTGTTGAAAACGACTCAATTCATTCTGCTGAGCTGCTCGCCGCTGGCCTTGCTTAGCAGCTGATTTCCAATCGCGTTCAGCTGCTTGTAATTCTTCGATTTTCTAAAACAAGAAATTCCTTTTCATCCTTCCTAGTAAAACATCCTCAATACTTGTTTGGATTCTTGCTCGAGCTCACGATGACGTTGGGTGAGTAAGATTTCTTGTGCACTAATTTCTTTTGTTAAGTTTTCAATCGCTAGCTGAGCTTGTTGAACCGAATCGTTGTTTATGTTCGATGTTGTATCGCCAATAATATCGCTCAAATCGAAATCAACCGCTGTCGGAGGTGGCCGAACAGCTTTATGCTTGTATGCGCTAAGTAATATTTGATATTTGCCAAGTAATTCTTGGAGCTGAAAGCAAAGTTTCGATACTGAACTTGTTGAGAAGCAGAACATCTCATTCCACTTACTTCTTTCACGAGCCGTTTGTGTTCATTCGATGCTGTCGTGTGCAATTGTTGTTCGAGTAGTAATGTCGAAAGAAGAACTTCGTGCTGTTGTTTGAGTTCGCTATTTGAACGAACATGACGCTGTAATTCAACATCCGTTTGTTGAGCAAATAGTTTATCTGACAGTGTTTGATTGCGATCAGTTAAATGTTTTTTATCCATTTCTTAATGACAAATCGATCGTTCGGATGACAAGAGTCAAGTTGTCTCCTACCTTTTTGTTCGACAATTTGTGTCAATTCGATTAGTTTTGATTGCTCATCCGCTTCTTCTTCTTGTTTTCGTGTAAATTCCACCATATCATTCTCATTCGCACTTGTTAACGTTGTACATTCATTTTCTAGTTCATCGCGAGTCATCTTCAATTCATTGCACTAAACGTTATCAAGGTGAAAGTTTTTGTCAGAAAACAGAAAAATCGTTGTTTACTTGTTCTCTCAACTGATCACGTTCTGTAGTCATTTCATTCATTTGTTTTTCATGTTGCAGCCGATCGACAACTTCCAGGTTATCTTTTGCATAGACGTGACGTCGTAATTCATACATGGATTCTTCCATGACCGATGGGTCATGTCGGCCAATCCAAAACATTTGTCGCATTAACAACTTGAATTCGCTGAGAAAATGATTTGTTGCGATGCGTTCTTGTTCCTGTTGACTTTTCGATACACATGTTGCTAATTGTATCAATAATTCCAGAATAATTATCATATGATCATGTGCCATTGTACGTTCTGGTTTGATTCGAGACAGCTGATCAACCGTCGATAGACGATAGAGCAGAGCAACTTGTTTTAGGTATCCCCATCGATCACTAAGTGAAAGTTTTCCACCAGCCTTGGTCGGTTGTGGTAAAGGTGGAAATGGTTGAAAACGATGAACTTCATACCGGGCTGGATTGGTCAATTGCTTAAAAATTCAGAAATGAAACGCGCAAAGGTTACAATTGATTACATACATCGAGTACAGTGAGAATATCTTCGAAACTGTATTTCGTGTCATAACGCATTGTATGCGGAATACCAAGTTCGGCAAGTAACTGTAGAAAAACGATAGAATAACAACGATCATGATTAGGACATGGCTTACTTCATTGAGATTCTCCACAAGCGTTTGTAATGTATGCGGTTTTGCTCGGTTGATCATACTCGAATTGGGAGTATTAACAACCATGGGATGCGATCGAATGCTAGTAGTTGAATTCGGCTGTTGAGATGGAGGAAATCGATGAGAATTCATAGGGGTGGCTTGCCAATTTCGTGAATGTCCTCCCAGTACACTGGGTGGTATCTGTTGAAGACTATTATCAAAGAACGATGTCGATGTCGATGAAATATTCCCCGGTGTTCCATATACAGTGGTTAAGGGTCCCTTTTTGCCAGCAAAAACCGAGCCCTTTTTCATCATTGTACTGAAACGTTGCGGATTATGATGATTGAATAAAACGATCTAATAAGCAATAGAAGACTGAATCACGTCGAGATACATATCTTTGTCCATGTCCATTGTCGCCATAAACATTGCATAGTATACCTCACCGCGAAGATTTCCTGTGTCTAGCGACATCTACTATTTTCATATTTCGCCGTGCTCATCAGAACTAGAGTGCGAGTATGAGAAAAAAACTGAGGGAGAATGAGACGCGAAATGTTAACTTTGAATTGCTTATCATTCTTTTTACGATTATGACTGTGCTTCATCCACTTTTTCTCTTTCAATTACGCGTTTCATTTATCTACACAGGGAATGTATTTGTGAGTCTTTTGTTGAGAGAATCAAATGTATGTACGCGTACATTGATCTGTCTACTATTGATCTACATGAAAAATGACAAACACATATATGAAAAAAAAAGTGTCAAGCTTTTCTTTGCACCACGAAAAATCGATTATCCAAAGCAAGGAATTGTTTTAAAGATGAATTAATCGGTAAATTTTGTATATCACCTGGATAATTCATTAACCGTTTGAATAATTCAATTCGACAAATTGATTTTAACAAAAGATTCTTCTCCTTAGCTTGTTTTATAAATAATTTCACTGGTTCTTTCCAATAAATCCAAACACGGCGAAAAATATGTTCAAAATGAAAGTTCTTTACATTAACATCTGGATTATTATAAATACAATCAAACAGACGAAAAAATTTCCCGTATAACATTCGCATCGTTGATTGTAATAGTTCATGTTCTTTACTTTTCGTCTGTTGATCTTTATCCGAGCACGCATTTTCAGCTAAACGATTTTGAATTTCAACCTGAACAGTGCCTAGTGCATAGATGAATTCCGTGAGAATCTCTCCCGCTTGAATACTCATTTTCAGCTCATCGTAATCATGCACCAGTGTTGACAAGCGATTCTTATATAAGATACAACACAGATTAACATGGTGATCGACATAAAGCATTTTCTGTTCGAATGATAATTGTGGTAGAATTGACCGTATGTAACGTAAAGGTAGTTTTGTTAATTGTCCACCGCGATTGATCACTGTTTGTAGAAAGTAAATGTTTGAATTAAAATCTTTATCGGTTAACAAATGATCGAGACGTAACATGTCCCCATCGTGTTGTAAATGTGTGGGTTTCAATTTCTTCAATGAATATAAACACTCCAGCCAGTAGTCGAGCGGAGTGTGAAGTTCGGAATTGTCAATTTGTAGGACATGTCGGTTTGTATATGGAAGAAGAGCTTCACATATGGGTAGATTGAAATGTCGACAAGCGTGATGTAATGAACTGTATCGATTGAAATCAAGTTTATTTGTATCTAAACACGACAAATGATGTGTTAGGAGATACTTTATTAAATCAGCGGGACCATTTTTGTGCGCAAGCATAAGTAGACAATGCCGACCTTGATCATTGATGGTATTAATGTCCAGTTTGCGAGATAATAATTGTTGTTCGAGTAAATGTTTCGTGCAATCGAAACGCTCTTGTTCGATTGAACGTAACAATATGGATTTATGGGAGTAAGTCTGATCGTGCTCACTCGAATGCATGTAAAATTCAATCTCTCTAAGAAACCACTGGAGAAATCCTTCATGTTCACCAGTTTGATTTAGTCGAAGTAGACGATTTAAGATATGATTTAATTCCGTATTTAAGCGTTCGCAGATCGAATCTTTCAATATTGTGATCGAACGAATTTTGTCCAGTGTGATGGGAAGATACGATTTCCAGTCGTATTCATTAAATCTAATCGAGATAAAGAAAAGACAATATAAATATTTCTATCGAATTCTTAAACTTGCCTACTTCGTTGTCATGGGGTATTCGATTGGCTCATCAGGATCACTGCTTGTATCGTTGGATGATTCACCTAACGCGAAAGAAGGGTTTGCCGATGGTGGATTGACCTGAAAGTTAAAATGTCTTACTTGGTCTCATTGACGACGATGAAGAAGACGAAGACGATTGATTCATATCAGTTGGAAGGGGATCAGTAGAAGTTTGTTCATTGATATCTAGTTGAATAACATTAAACACAGACATGTCTTGTTGTAAACCTTGAAATTGTTGACAATATTGATTTAGACCGGAGTTACTTCTAGGTAGTGATAGGTTGTTTGTGTGACGAGAAACGAGGTGCAATATTCTTCGAAAATTTCGTCTTCTTTTATTTTCCGTTTCATCATTTTGTTTACCGTTACTACTGCCCATAAGATGATATCCGTTCCTTTCGCGCGCTCTCTCTCTTCTCTCTTTCCCTGTCCCTCTAGTTCGATCACGGCTATTAAAGCGGAGAATTGAGATTACAACTTTTGATGCTGTCGCACTCTGATTACCTTTATTACATATATAGATGAAATATATTAGATATCCTTGATAATTTGTTGTTATTCATAAGTGAAACGGAACGTTACTTGATCAGAAAAAGCATGACTATTACGTCCGTACGGCTGACTGATTCTTCTTTGTTGAACAGGTGAAAAAAGTCATTGAAAAAAACTCGCAGAGTATAGACTAAGGCAAAAATATTCCGAACCTTGAAGATGAAAAAGCGACGAACCAGAAGAACATCAGAAAATAAAAACATAAATGTGTACACATTCTCAGTTAATGAGCTTGCATCTTGTACAGATTCGCATCATCACGGAAGGTAGAACATGACATAGGCATACGAGGCAACGCGAAAGAGAGCGTACTCGAAAATGATATGAGCTATGATCAAGGTTATCACATCTGCAGAATACTTCGATTTTGACCCTGTCTGTCTACCTTTTTAGTAATACTAAAGATGCTCAAAATATTCTATCAATGGCATATTGACATATACCATTGACGTTTGGCCAATGAACAGTTTATCTTTACATCGAAATTTGTGATTACCATGAAAATCATTCTTTTCCATACCTTTTGTTTTGTCATTTGACTAAGCATGCATGATAATGGGTAGAGCAGATGCAACGGAAACTCAATTACTTAGAAAAAAAAAAGATATAACATCTGTCCGATGAAAGATTTTCAAGACTGATGATCGACATTGATGTTGACTTCTCGGTCTTTTTTTTTCTATCACTTCGGTCTTTCAATGAAGAAACCTTTGTACTCACTTAATTGAAATACCATAAATGTATGTTTACATTGAGAAAAAAATCCGTATCGCTTGTCGTGGTCTTGAAAAGACGAGCAGAGGGCATCCTTCTCTATTTGTAATCAAGGAAAAAATGCAACCAGCATCTTCAACAAAACGCATTTTTTTCCTCTCGTGTTTTTCTTTCTTTATCTTGGTTTAACTGACATATATAAATTTATTAGAAGTGTTAACATTTACTTGCAAATGCTTTTCTTGGAAAACGAGCAAAGACAGTAACGATCAGCTCCTCTTTGTTGTGTATCGGCAGACATCACTTGAGTCATTTACCATACTGAAATCATCTGACCTTGCTCACAAATGGGAAACCATCAAGCACATCAATTAGAAGAAGATTTGTCGTTAAATGATTATCGATATTTAATGAAACAAACACATTTAACACCACACGTGATTCAAGGTTGGTATCGAGAATTTCTCAGTATATGTCCCACTGGTCAGTTGAATAAACAGCAATTTATCAAGTTCTACAATCAATTAGAGAATTCGTCGACGAAAAATGTCGAGAAAATCGCGGAAGATGTTTTCCAAGCTTTCGATCGAAATGGTTCGTTGATTGATTCTCATTTGTTTCGTGCGAAGATCATATCTCTTTTCTAGGAAACAATCGAATCGATTTCAACGAATTCCTCATTGCCTATGCATTGACATCAATCGGTGATCCAGTAGAGAAACTAAGCTATGCTTTTTCACTATTTGACAAAGATCATTCGGAAACCATTGAGCCCAACGAAATGATCGATTCACTCGACAAACTCTGCTCGTTAACCGGTCGAAGGACGAGCAATCAATCCACAGCAACTCTTGCTTGTGATATCTTTCACACATTGGATATCGATCACAATCAAAAACTTACAAGAGATGAATTTATAAATGGTTGTCTTAAAAATGATTTTATTCGTTGTATGCTTTCACCATTTGAGAGAATTTAGAACGTTGTGTGGTGGTGGTTGTTCTGTAGTTAGTTTGCTTTGTATTCCATAGTGCTTTTAATGTAAAAATTTACTTGAAAGTAAAAAGGAATAATTGATCCAGAAGAGCATTTCCACGAAATGGAATGATATTGTTTGCTCTCTTTTACCAGACAATTAGTCCTAGTAGACAGGGAGTGAATGAGAAAAGTTATTGGGAAGCTTTTACTCGTAAGGATGCGCTCAACATACACCTACACGTGCACTATGTTTCGAAGACTTTTTCTAAATTGTACTTTACAAAGATGTCGTACAGAATCATTATGACAGTCGTGCACGTTTCTCAAATAACCAATGGAAGGAATACACTATGACACATTCTTTCGAATCGAGTGTGTAAAGAGAAAGGAAATGATACATGCTTGCGCAAGTTTTTATGATCGTTGTATAGTTTTTGAAGAGAAGACTCATTTCATCACAATTCTCAAATATTCTACCTTTTACTCGAATTTACTAGAAGATTCTCGATTATATTCCAAGAATCTCATCATTTGTATATATAGGATGCATTTTCAAATGATTTTTCATCAACAAGTTTTCATACAACATCTTCAGAATATACCCAAATGGCTCGCGCAATTGGTATTGACTTAGGAACTACATACTCAGTAAGTATTATAAGTAGGCTATCTGATTGATTCTAATTAAACTTTTCATTGTAGTGTGTTGGTATTTTCGAAAATGGTAAAGTTGAAATTATCGCCAATGATCAAGGTAATCGAACAACGCCATCGTACGTAGGATTCACCGATAGTGAACGTTTAATCGGTGATGCAGCTAAGAATCAAGTAGCAATGAACCCGACCAATACAGTTTTCGATGCAAAACGATTGATTGGACGTAAATACGATGATCCAACTGTACAGTCAGATATGAAACACTGGCCATTCACAGTTGTCAACGATGGCGGTAAACCAAAAATTCAGGTCGAATATCGTAGTGAAACAAAATCCTTTACGCCAGAAGAAATCTCTTCGATGGTTTTGACAAAAATGAAAGAAACAGCTGAAGCTTATCTTGGCAGACCAGTTTCCGAAGCTGTTATCACCGTACCAGCGTACTTCAACGACGCACAACGACAAGCAACTCGAGATGCAGGTATCATTGCTGGTCTTAACGTCCTTCGGATTATTAACGAACCAACTGCAGCCGCCATTGCTTATGGCTTAGATAAACAAGTCACCGGTGAAAAAAATGTTCTTATTTTCGATTTGGGTGGTGGCACATTCGATGTATCAGTACTAATCATGGACAATGGTGTATTCGAAGTGAAATCGACCGCTGGTGATACTCATTTAGGTGGTGAAGATTTTGACAGTCGTATGGTGGCACACTTTGTTGAAGAATTCAAACGAAAAAACCATAAGGATATTTCACAAAATAAGCGAGCACTACGACGATTACGAACCGCGTGCGAACGAGCAAAAGTAAGTTGAATTTCTTTTCGAAAGATAGAGAATTTTAATGAATTTGATTTTCTTTCCTTCTAGCGAACGTTATCAGCAAGCGCCCAAACGACAATCGAAATCGATTCTCTCCATGAAGGTATCGATTTTAATGCAACTATTACACGTGCTCGATTCGAAGAACTATGTGCTGATCTTTTCCGTTCAACATTGGATCCAGTAGGAAAAGCTCTACGCGATGCAAAGCTCGACAAATCACAAATTCACGAAATCGTTCTTGTCGGAGGCTCAACACGTATTCCTCGAGTCCAAAAACTACTTCAGGACTTCTTCAATGGCAAAACTCTAAACAGATCGATCAATCCCGATGAAGCTGTTGCTTACGGTGCAGCAGTTCAAGCCGCTGTTCTCACCGGTGATCAATCCGAAGCAGTCAAATCTGTTCTTCTCATCGATATCACGCCATTATCGATGGTAAGCAATCGCTATGAACGTTTTTTTTTTCGCTTACCCATACATCTCTTCTATTGTAGGGCATTGAAACAGCTGGTGGTGTCATGACCGCGTTAATTGCACGAAATTCCAGCATTCCAACAAGGCAAACGCAGACATTTACCACGTATGCAGACAATCAGCCTGGTGTTGATATAAAAGTCTTCGAAGGCGAACGTACCATGACAAAAGACAATCATTTACTGGGCAGTTTTACACTCACTGGAATTCCTCCGGCACCACGTGGTGTACCGAAGATTGAAGTTTGCTTTGATATCGATGCCAATGGTATATTGAACGTATCAGCGACAGAGAAATCGGGTGGTCAAGAAAAGAATATCACCATTCGAAATGATGGTAGTCGACTATCCAAAGATGAAATCGACCGCATGGTTTCCGATGCCGAAACATACAAGGAACAAGATAGAATTCAGCGTGAACGAATTACTGCTAAAGGTGCATTGGACGATTACTGTTTCCGAATGAAATCATCTATTGAAGATGAACAGATTTCGTCGAGACTTTCATCCGATGACAAGAAGAAAATTAGTGAAATTGTGAAATCAACATTAGCATGGGCTGAATCAAATCAACTCGCTGACAAAGACGAGTTCGAGCATAAACGACAAGAAGTCGAACGTATTTGCTCACCCATTATGACTAAACTTCATGGTAAGTAGTCGAATTCAACAAAACGACATTCTCTAACCGTATGATTGTTCTTTAGGCGGTGATGGAAATGGAAGTGCTAGCCGTGGTCCGACGATCGAAGAAATGGATTAAATCCTTAAACACCTAATTTTATACTTTTATTTTTTTACTTCTGTGACCAATAAATCTTCGACGAATATTTTTTAATATTCACAAGCTTCATACCAATCTAAACTGTTCATTCACTGTAGACAAAACAAATGTTTACCATTCGCTCTAAATCTCTCATAAGATCTTTCCTTCGCCATTCTCACACTTACATCGATCATTATGATCTATCAACGACTGGAATATCATTGAACGAATTTCAGCAACGACGTCAAGCACTTGTAAATCTTATCCGTAATTATATCAAAACACAGAAGGAACATAAAACTTCAACGAATTTCACGATTTGTCTACCGGCGTCGTCGAGATTATTCATGGGTCCTGATGTTGCTTATTTTCCGTTCAAACAACAATCCGACTTTTACTATCTTACTGGCTGTATGCAACCTGATGCGTTACTTTTGCTCGGTGGTAACGATCAAACGTATTCGACTAGTCTATTCCTATCACCTTGCCCAATGACATTGATTGACGAATACGAGCGATGGTTTGGACCAACGATCAAGAATAAGGAAAAAATTTGTGAAATATTCGGTATTGACCATGTTTATCCAATGAATCAATTAACAACATGGAAAATTCCTTCGTCATCAGTTCTGTTTCATAATTCACAATTGATTGACGATGCGAGTATTAATAAAAAGAATTTAGTGCCGTTCTTCAAACGATTCTCGTCATCAACTGTTTGCAGTCAATTAAACCATTTCTTGCATTCACTACGATCTATAAAATCATCAGCAGAGCAGGATCTTCTTCGTCAGGCGTGTCAATTAACTTCGACCGCTTTCATTCAAACAATCAAAAACTGCAAGAAAAGGATTGATAATGAACATTTAATTCAAGCCAGATTTCAATACGAATGTGCGAGATTAGGGAGTACTTCTATGGCATTCTACCCAGTCGTAGCTGCTAAGGGAAGGTATATCTGCCAAATCCATTCGTTTCTTTAACTATCAGAAGTAACTTATTTAGATCCAATGTTCTTCACTATCAAAAGAATGATCAGCCGATTACTAAGGATGATTTAATCATGTTAGACGGTGGTTGTTTGTATAAACAATATGCAGGTGATATAACTCGTTTATGGCCCATGAACGGTCGATTTAACTCTGCACAACAGCAACTCTATGAAATTTTACTAACTGTTCAAAAAGACCTAATTGAATATTTCAGCTCAGGAGATAAATCCGTATCCAGAAGTAAATTGAATGCTCTCGCTGATCAGTATATGATCAAATACCTACGCGAAGAATTCATTCTCTCACGATCTATTGATGAGCGAGATGCAAAACGAATTGTCAATGATCTGTGTCCAACAAGTGTTAGTCATCATCTTGGTAAATCATGAATTTTATCTGGACTAATGGACAATTCTTCACTTTTATATAGGCTTAGATGTTCATGATTGTGAAGCAATATCATTCTCTGAACCATTACAATCAGGAAATGTGATTACCATCGAGCCAGGTAAAAAGCGAATCATCAAATTTCGTCATTAACGATTATCTCTACTTAGGTCTCTATATTCCGTGGGACTACCAAGACGTTCCATCCATCTACCGTGGTTTTGCCACTCGAATCGAAGACGATGTATTAATAACTGATCAAGGTTACGAGGTATTAACAAAGTTGTGTCCGAAGGAAGTCAATGATTTATATAAACTACTGGATGAAAGAGATCGAACTCCTATCGAATGATTTGGTGCTCAAACGATATAGTTTACTGATCATATGGAAGAAAAACGTTTGTTTCTACTGTAAAAGAATTCATCATATACAGTCGATGAGAATATTTTTGAAAAAAAAACCAAAAAAGAATCCGAATAGAAAGTGTAAGCAAACAGACTTCTTTATCACAAGTGACGTTTTACAAGAAATGTGGAATGAGAACTGTCTGTGTACGTTTATTTCTTGTTTGTTTTGCTCTTTTTCTGCGTTCCAGCACGTTGAATAACTTTCAATTCACGATATCGTACCTACAAACACAAATAAGCGCATGTTACTCTCCTTTTCGTTGAGAAGAAGAAGAAGAAGAAGAAGAAGAAGAAGAAGAATGACGTACCAATTCAGGATCCGAAGGCAATCGAGAAAAGAAATCGGCCAGTTCGTTATTATCAATGAAACCTTTTGGTTTACGGAATCGTTTGGTAAATTTGTTGATAACAAATGCTAAAATTAAAGCTCGAAGCGGAACGTAATAGAGTAACACAGATACTAAAACTAGGATAATAATAAGTAAAGTTGATAGCCAAGGAACACTATAATTGAACAGGCTAAAAAAAGATTGAACGACAGTGTTAGCTTTTAAAACGAGAGTATTCAACATACTTCTTAACGCGTTCCAATGTCGATGCAACATCATCGATGTAACCTTGAATTTCCAAAACCGTATCTTGAATGCCTGATATGACACCCATAAAGGATTTCTTTGGTTCCTAAAAGTATTAGCAATATAGTTTGAACTTAATTTACACATTTCTTCGTTTTACTTTTGCAGCTAATTCCGCATCAGGTAATTCTTCTTCTATAACAGGAGCTGGTTGAACAAGAGCGGAGATTGTTTCGTCTTCGATAGGTGCATAAGCTTTTCCGATTCGCCCGCGTCGATATTCGTTCACGAAGTTTCTTGCCAATATCAGTAACAGTGCGCCAGGTAACATATATAACTCGAAATTCCAAACAATGATCAAAGTTACCTAGAAAGACAATCTTTCTTCGTCAACGAAATACTTCTTTGATCAATTCCGTACCATAAATGTTCCGAAACTCAACCATGGATTGTCCCATTGGAAACAGTGGTTAATAAATTTCATCACATTGACTACACCTGATAGCATATTTGTGATACGTGCTAGATGTTGTTTGATCGCCTGAAAAATTCTACTAGATGAAAATCTCTTCAATAAATTATTTTCCTGTACAGACCCCAATACTGAATTTATTATCCATTTGATAGTATGCAACTTGCCGGGGATTGATCGTTCGAATAACTGCTTTCAACTAGAAGTTTATCAAAAAGTCCATTGAATGGGTATAACAAGAAAAGGAATTCTCACATTCGAATAGTAAAACGAAGCTTCAATTTCGATGGCTCCTTTCACAGGTAAAAGGCATTTTCGATCTTTCAATTGCATCCATTTCTTTTGACCATTTTGGATCTAAACAAACAAAATATGAGACATTTATGGATGTAAAATACTTCCTACAGTCAATAGCGGAATTGCCACTTTGCCAATAAATTCATTATCACCATTGGAGTCCTCGTCATAGATGGATAATTCCACCACGGAATGAATATCTTGACATGGTATAATGAAGGATTTATTCCAAACAGGATCGAGTGTTTTATATATTGTATGTGTGCGTAAACGACTGGAGTCAAGCTCAACGATACAAAATGGATCCGATTTACCGATAATATCCTTAGCACTAAGATCACGTGCTTGAAAAACTGAAACGAAATCATTGTATTTGTTAGAAAGAGTGAATCAATTGGAAATCTACGATTTACTTTTGATTTCGAGTTTGCCAACGTCAAGAATTGGATTCATATTCTTAAATGTTTGAAGAAACGTCTAGAAAACAAGTCAATTTTCTACTTAAAGATTGAATTCGTAAAGAAACTAGTTACGGACATAACGGTTTGTATCTTCGGGTTTCAATCTCGATGGCATCGCATCGAGAGCGATGTTCGATGCACTATCTCCATCATTAGTTGCTTCTTGCAATGCAGTAGTCTGAGTAATCGTCACAAACAGATCTACAATACCAGCACCATCTTCTAAGTCCACTGGAATTCGATGTGTGCGTTCTTCGTCCAAATGGGCTAAGTTACAAAGTCCTCTAGAAGAGAAACAATGTTCATAAAACTTCTGTTAAATCAATCCTTACCGGCCGATGAAATCTCCGGAACTACTTGCATCATCAAATACAGCGATTTCAATTGGAGGAAGTTCACCAACGTGTGTATCGTACATAAATGATTGATGCCATACGGGATTACGAGTATATTTAATTGTCTAAAGATGAAAAATACAAATGAAATCAGATGGTTGTTCGAGGAGGAGTCTAACTTGTGTTCGATTTTTCTTATTGCCATATTTAAGTCGAACAAAAGGACTACAGAATCCGTCCGGATTGCGGGATTTCAAATTTCGTCCTTCGATGATAAAGACATCAATCGTACGCCGAGGTACGATGACACCACTATTATTGCCCGATCGACTACCAAAAAAGGATTTCACTTGAGATTGTTTTGCTATGTTTCGAAGAACCTGTAAGAAGAATTCGAATAGATTCTTTGAGAATAGATTGCAGTTCGCTTTCTCTCACCTCATCATGGAAATCTAAAGATTTCGGTGTTATCGTAATGCTAACTTTTAGTGTGCCATTTTTATTATCACTTCGATCTTCACCTTCCAATTCAAGATTCGCACCATATAATCTTTCGAACGGCAGCTTCCACAAGTCAATTTTGGCTGTACCCATCGACTCGTCCCGTCCAATACGATCGTGATCGTAAACATGAAAATACAATGGCAAATTCAGATCATTGGTAAATATGGAAAATTTCTCATTCCAAACAGGGTTCAGACTTTTTGATACTGTTTGTGTTGTATACTTTTCTTCATTACCGTAGACGACCTTTACGTAAGGATCACTTGAACCGCCAATGTCTTTAACAGAAAGACTGGCTCCTCGTTCGATACAGATTTCCGTCCAATACGCTTCATCGGGTTCATTGTCTGTAGGTGTTGTCGGCGATGAATTGTTGAAAATCGAACCGATCGCTGGCGTTTTGGGAATTACAGTGCGCGCACGTTGTGTTAGTTGATCTTTGAATTTGTTTAATGTCACTCGACTGTTATTCAATGTTTTGCTGAGGTCCGTGGATCCATTTTCTTCTACAGTCATATTAGTGGAGCCATTAATTAGCATTGTTTTGTCATGAACATTTTCAGCTTTGTGGTCCGAAGAAAGAGGAGAGTCAGATGAAGATGAATCAATCCCATTTGTTGTAGAATTCGCCTGTTCCTCGCTCGTTGGCGATGACTTGATCTCCTAAAGAAGAAGAAAATTTTACCGTTTTCCTGCCGTACGTAAACATATGGGGTAAATTAAAGTCACCTTGATACAAGAACAAAAGTATTTCATGATTACATGTATGTTAAATTTCTTAAAGTATTCATTTTAAAAAAACACATGTGAACTGGTTCTTAAACTTCAAAGTCAGTTTTTGTTCTTTTCAAAATCGTCTGGCTCGAAGCAGCATGCATATATCGAAAAATGCAACAGATGATTAGTTACAATGAGAAAGAAAAGCACAATGTGTCTTTATTGACTATCACATATAAAAGAGAGGCATCAAAGCCATAAAACACTATTACTATTTTACTGAATACTGACGCGAAAAGTCAGCACGTGTATAACCTCGAGAACACGACATACAGTTTAGAAAATACGACAACGATCAGAATTAGTTCAGTACTTACTTCGTTAGCCATAAGAAATATTTTTTCTGTATCTATTTGATCCTAACCCCTGTTGACTGCGTAGAAATATTTTAAGGTAAACAAAATGAATCTATCGAACGAAATCAATCGAGCGAATCGTTGTTTACAATGATTGTATTCGAGCACATTTTAAAGGTAGAAAAATACTACGATAGGATGATTCTCCAACGGAGAATTCAGCGAACTAATCGAAAATTATATATTTCTATTCATATGCGCGAATACTAATGGGAACGGGTAAATGACGTCGAGAGAAAAAAAAAGATACCTGTGGTAAATAATGCGGAAAAGAGAAGTTATTATATTAAATCTACAAAAGGTCAGTGTAACTTACTGCAAATGAGTGAACTGATCGAAATGATAACCTATCATCATCATCGTCGTCATCGTTCCAATCAGAAGGAATAGTTTGACGGTATTTTCTTGCTCCAGCGAAATGTGATCTAACTTGATTGAGTAGAGACATTCGATGTGAATGCGATGTGGGTGTTTTACTAATCGACCGTTTTTCGATCTCTGCATAATCAAACGATCGATGACTCGTACGAATCAATGCCACAGATAATGACCGATCCGTTGTTGTTTGCGTATGATGGCGATTGAAACTTTTACGTACTAATTTATTCCGTACATGACGTAATAGTGATCGAGATCGAAAACTATTCTCGGCTGATGTACATTCAGAATCGGTACTTTCTCCCGACATATTCATTACTTCAACAAACGATGACGGTAAGACTAGTACTGAAAGTGTTCATAGGTCGATACATCCTCATCGTTATTATATACAAGCACCATCCGCAATCTTATGTAATGCATGCTCATTCAATAGAACTTTTGCTTCGAGTATTAATAGAGGATTAGTTACAAGTTTTACAATAACTATTTATTTTTTATCATCAATAGCTATTACAGATGTCACGTATTCGAAATGCAAATCAATATTGACTTGTTAGAAGAAAAAGGCTTTAGTAGATACTAATTCTTTCTTTCTTTCTTTCCTTATGTAAAGGATGAAGTAATAGTCTTAAATCAAACGAATTGAATGGACATTGTTACATGTGCTCTTGAATGATGATGATCTTCAAATAAGAAATGTCATAGACTCACGCGATTCAACACTGTGTCGTTGTTTTTCATATTCATATGCCTGTTTCGTTGTCGTCTGAAAGAGAAATAATTAGTACAAACCAACCTAACATCGACAATCGTAGATAAAAGGTCTGTCGAATCTTTTGTATACTTTATCGTCGCACATCGATCAAGGATCTGCGGATCAACGCTGGAAGACAAATCACGTCTTGGCAAGCTGAGAACTTCGACTGTTTATTGTATCTCAGATAAACATCATTATTCTCGTTGTTTGATAGATAGATCCTCTACGATCCTACTCAAGAACTTCGAACAAAAGGATAGAATGATCAATACACTCGTCCGGTTGATTTCTTTAACCATCTATATGCACATCTACAAGCAAAACAAATGATGTTGTTTTTATCTCTTGTCACTGAACGGTTATAATCAATTCGTTTTTGTTTATATATTTTCTATAGCTTCGAGCATCAACATTCAAGCAGATGTATCATTGCCATACACATTGCTTTCTTGTTCATACTTCATATATAGATTAGTTTTTTTGTTTGATTGCATGCTCGCATTTTAAACTTTGATTAATACGGTTGACTGCATGTATTTTTACTAGACGATTGTCGACAAAAAAGAACAGCAACACCTGGTGTAGTCATTCAACCGAATATATTTATCTTATGTATACATATGTATATTTATCAAAAGGGCAGAAAACAAGAACGAAAAAGAAAAAGAGACGACATAGAATGAAAATGCGATGCTAATCAATGTCACTGCCACTGCAACCGTTCTTCGCCGACGTTGTAGCTATGAACATCGGATAGTTCTTTTCGTAATTTTTCAGCATTTCACTTAGAAATGTGTGGAAAACATCGACGGCGGCGCCGATAGCAGGTGCACCGAAACCATGAGTGATTAATGAAAATCTTGATAATGAATGTTGAACGGATGGATCAAGTGTCGGTGGAAGCGTCGAGAGGCGATGATGAGACATCAATGATGAACTGGATGTGTGTCGAGAGTTTGAAGAACTTCCGTTAGATGATGATGATGATGCAATATTAACGGGTGAACGATCTTGTTTAAGTAGATCACCAAATTCTTGAACTAGTTGTCTGAAACAAGTCCAATTGATTAGTTCAATTAATTATCAATGGAGCAAACTTACTTTGCAGCTAAGATCATATTCCGACGTGTACTGATTTCATTAGGATCGGAATTATGTCTTGCGATGTAATCGGCAGTTATTTCAAAAGGAAATTCTGCTTCACATACAGTGCGAAAATCGGCAGCTAATTGATGTGCTTCTCCTAACAAATGAAAATGATGAATGAACATAATTTGACAAATGCTATAGGTTACCTTCGACAAGAGAGGTTAGTAGAGTAGTCGTTGATGTTTTACGACGACCTGCTTGAAGATTAACACCAATCTTTTCTAATTTATTCCGTAAATCTCGACCACCATTTTTTGATTTTGCCCTACAATGAATATTCATACATAATGTATCAACGATGAAATCCACTTACCGTCTCAAAACACCGCCAAGTAATGATGCATTGAGATTTTCTGGTGGACCAAGACGTCGTTGAATCTCTCCGACAGTTACATGATATTTTGATGAGGAACTTAATAGTGCTAAGCGGCCAGGTACTACATGCAAACATGGTTTAAGAAAAAGATCATTGGTCGGAAAGAGATTGTTCTACCTTGACAGAAAAGATCTGTGGGTGATAGTGATCCATTGCCAGAACACATTGATGAAAACGAACTCGAATCTCGAGATGGATCGGAGCGTCGGCTATCTGCTTAAATAGAGAAAATTAATTTCATTAGAAAAATAAAGAAATATCTTTACTTGTAGGCGATCGATGATAAGGCGAATCACTCGTTTGCAAATCATTTCCATTATTGAGGATCTACAACAGTAAAATTCATGAAAAATGCACCGATGATTTGACAGAATTTGAACTTACACGTGCTGTATGATCAACTAATGAAGAAGTAGATGTTTGATGATGTTGAGAATGTCGTGAATAGAGTTCTGCTGCTGCTGCTTGCTGATGATGAACATCAAGAATCGATTGATGATGACGTGCATAGGCAGATGCATATGGATCATACGATGAGGAATTGAATGGCATACTGCTCGAAGTCGAATGCTGAGGATGAATACCTGATGGAGTTCCATAAGATGACGATGGTGAACCATTTACTGCTCCATAATTGAACGTTGGATAATGTTCAATGGCATTTGCGGCAGCAGCGGCATGTACATCGAATTGAGCAGCAAATGCTGGATTGAATGGTGGTGGAAAATATGGAAATGATGGATCTGTCAATGGTCCACTACGAGATGCGGTTGATGTGCTGAATGGGCCACCACCAACGGACGATGGTGATGATGAAGACGTTGGTGATGATGCATATTTTGTATCCTGTAACAAACACGACAAGTGCATGGATAGAATAGAAGAAAGAAATGAACAAAAACGAAGACGAAGAAGACATGCTAGTTAATTTAATGATTTGTTTATGAAAGAATATAGAATAGAAGCTATACATAAATGAACAAAAAGAAACAAGGCGAAATTTTTTTCTGTTTTTAATTTACTATACCCTAAAGGCTGTTTAGTTGTATGACAAACTTACATCGATCTGTGCACCATTACCACTGCCTGAATCAATTAAATCAAATGCGGATGGCATATGAAGATGCTGTTGAAAATGAGGTTTTTTTTCTTCTTTCGTCGTTCTCAAAATCCTGCGGCAGTTCGACAGATGACAACGATCAATACCCGAAGCAAAAGAAATACTCGCTTCGATGATGGAATTAAATAAATGTGTATAATATCCAACAAATTGTTGTGTTTTGCTATCTAGCTAACGGCCAAATGTTCTCTCTAATCGAAAGACGGAGGAAAGTCAACCTGTGTTGATACGATATAATAATAATAATAAATACAATTCTATCAGATTAGGTAGAAATAGACACATACATATTCCATCGATATGTATTATGAGCTAAGTGTACTTCGTCTCCTGCTTTTTCTTTCCATGTCTCTCTCTCTCTTTCCCTATATGTTCGTTCTATGTTTTCGACCAATCATGCCCTCGGGCAGAATACAAACTCTTGCAGACCAATCGACAAAAATGTAGATATCGATGATTGGGCGAATGATTTTCTCTTTTCTTTCTTCGCACAAAACAAGGAAAAAAACCTAGCTATTACTAATAAACTCATCCCATCCTCATCATCAAGTAACGTTAATGTTGGGGTAAAAGTGTGGCAGACTTTGTCGTTCTTTCTAAACGATCTACTATTACTCTTATCATCAATTCCGGCTATTAGTAGTAACAAAACTAGAAAGAAAGGAAAGAAGCAACTCACAACTAAACTAATATCCGGGCTAACGGTCAGCATCCGCAAACAAGTAGAATATACAATACTACCGGAAACATTGACTAGTAGGATCTTTCAAATGGCAATAACATTCATAGAAAAACAAGTGAAATACTCAACTAACGAAAGGAAAACACCGATTCGGTCGTCTTGTGACTCGATTTCTGGCTAGTGATATTCGTTTGTGTTTAACGAAGCTTGACATTCTGTCACGCTCGGTGACATCTTCACTCTGTTTTCTTTCTTTTAGTATTCTATAACACATTAAGAAAGATGATTTTCACACCTAGACAGACAACACATCTTCGTCTTAAGATATCGATAGTTTTATTATTGTAGACAAAATGAAGAAAGAAGACGAATATTCGTCTGTGTAGTTTATCGACTTTCAATCATAATACCTTCAAGCATCGTATAATTCAAAGAACGTGTGCAAGATTCTAATCTATCAAGAATAGAAAGTGCGATATTTTCAATTGACAAGTTTAGGCTTAATGAAGACGACATCAGATCTTAGGTGCACTTACTTGATGATACGGTAATAGAACCATTATAATAATGCTTGTCCGAATGATATCACTTGCGAAATATGTTTAGAAATCAAAATGATGTGTGTTTGTCTTTTTCCTCCTCCTTCTTCTTCTTCTTCTTCTGTTTTTTCTTCTCGTTTCACTTCGATACGTTGATTGGTCAAGACACAACTTCTATCATTCTTGTTTTCCTATTGGAGATATTAACACTGTTTACAATTCATTATCGGCGATGATGAGTTGAACGAATTTTGTGGAACATACAGCTGTTACTCATGCGTTTGAAATTCATCCTGGGAAAAGATTATCAATCATTGCCTCCTCCCGATCAATAACCGTCCCCTTTCACTTTTCGAGTAGCTCGTTGAAACAATAGTTGCAACTGGTGGATATTAGGTGCCGACTCTAAGTGACTCTCTTTTGTTTGATAATGCAATCTTATGGAAGGAAATAGATCGAACCACTTCATGGCGACAATAACTTTGACGCATACATATACAACAAAAAAAAACCAATCTGAAGATTTTCTAGTTGATTGAAATATATCAAAATAATCATGTGTGAAATGTAATCATCGATAGCTATTCAAGGCAACACACACACCTTTTCATACCGTATGTCTGAGAGAGTGATAGAGACAAAATAATATTTTAAAATAACAATCAATACTAAATGGTTTTTTTCTCTCCCTGTTCTAATCACACGTATACACATTGCCAATTTCTGCAAGACAGACTCCACCTTTTCGTTTCTGGCGTCAGCGGAGAAGCAAACGAAAGCTAACGACGACATATTTTGTCAATTGAATTTCAAAACATTCTTCTTCATACTAAGTAATTAGACAGATACGAGACAGCCTACTGTGCACATGCCAACTCACATTCTTCAACGTTTGATCTCGAAAGAAATGTGACATCATATACACAGATGATTATATCCTTTTGCTGCCTTGTAATCAAATTGTTCGAGTAGAGATGTATATTGACTTGTCGATCAACAAGTCTCTCGCTGCGATATATCAATGCCGCATATATGCTATCATTCTTTTGATACTACATTTCAAGACGCATGAGATATATCTAATGAGCTCTTCTTAAGTATTGTCATTCTTATGTTCGAAGAAGAAAATAACAATTCCTTGATGATTAATTGACATCGCAAGTCAGATATCAGATCGAATGAGGTAATCCATGCGGAAAATTTCACGTGTGTACACATCTATGGTTGCAGAGTAAAAGAAGAAACCTTAAATACTTTACTTTTTTGATGTTCATACGCATATGGATAAACGAATAACTTGGAATGATTTCCTTTCGAATGGCAAAGGAAGACATCGACACATCTGGACGATCTTGAAAGACTTCTTCTTTTCTATTTGAATATGAACAGAACGAATTCTTGTATGAGAGTCAATCTGTTTCAGTTAGAATCTAAATCGAATTGAACTGATTGGATCGATCTTTTTTCTTCATTTTGTAATGTACAAAACAAAACAAATCGAATCGATTTTAGCATCTAGTACGACTTGTGAATACCTATAAGAGAAACAACGATTTCCAAGTTAAAGTATTCTTGTCGTCGGTCAAAGGATATTGATTATTGATTCCAATTAGTGACTAGTTATTTGAACAAACAAAAAAGATTAAACAGCAGAAATTACATAGGTAAACAAAGAAGGCGGAGAACGTTAGCAAGGCTTGTTACAAATAAGAATTACCACAAGTCATTAGAGCGGTTTCTGCTCTTCGTATTATAAATATCTATCAATTTTGCCGTGCTTACTGGAAAGAAAATATGTCGGATGAGTATTGAAAATCTAGCGGCTGCAAGCATCTTTTCAGTGTGATTACAGAGTCATATTTATTAGTATCGATTAATGATCCAGGATTCGATGATAAATCGATCATTTAAAAACAACATGCATTCTTATTCACCATTGCTAGTATTGATTCATTCGATGGAACGCTATCTTGTAGTTATGTATAGATATAATCTAAATTGATGTTAATTTCACTAAACAGAATAAGATAATTCATACATGACATTTCGTGTGTGTGTCTATGGGTGCTGCACAGCAGAAAATGAAGTCTTTAATAGTTTTTTTTTGGATGTTCGCATAAAACGAACAGGTTACTAAATTCTTTTTGTCGTTTCGATTATGCATTTATTTCGAATATTATCGGATGCCGTGAGACTATTATATCTGACTGCAAAAACAATACTGATCGAAAAAGACTCAAATTACTCGCATGCATCTTTTGCAGCTTAATAATAAACTTGCTCTTCTACTATGTAGATATTGTCTGCTTTACAATGAGGAAATAATGACTTTCCTGCATAATGTGTTGAAATTACATTCGTGAGATATATACACGAAAGTGCACAAGACATTTTTCTTTAAAAACAACCAGTTGCATCCGTCAATACAGATTTAAACAATACAAAATAGTTTAGAACAGCTGATTTAGCTTGAAAACTAATCCATGCTATTGATAGCAGCTGAATTGATTTTGTAGGGAAATGACGAGGTCTACTATTTGCTTGAAAACTAAAGCATATTTAACTATTGTTTGTTATTATTGAAATACGTTGTATGCTGACTATCGTAGATGTGTGCAGTTCGTCATCATGCAAAAGATTTATCGTCAATGTGGATTAATCCGTTAGTTTTATTACAGTCAAACATGCAGGAACGAGAAAAATTCAGGAATGAGGATTGAATGTAACGTATCAATTGCTGGGCAAATATGTGTTTGGATTATTGTTATCGAAACCCAGACGAGAAGAATGACGTTGTTTTTTGATAAATCCACATGCATGAATCATCGTACGGATTTGTCCATTGAATTCCGCGAACTGGCACATTTCCAATTGACAACAATAGAAGCGCATTGTGAATCTTTGAAATATCCAACTGAATTTAGTGTAAAAACTAATTTCGATCGGAATATTACAGTGGTAAAATCCGTATGATTCAAGAAACCTGTTTACTGGTATTCCCCCTAAAATATGTCTTGAATATAACAGCTTCGCCAGGTTTTGTATTAAAGTATATTTTTCCTCGATTCAGCCACTGCGTGTTTCATCAATTGTCCAAAGTGCATCAATCTCATATAACTACGAAGCCATATAAAGATTCTGTGATACTTAGTCTAATACTTACAGACACAAAAGTCAGAAGTTGGTACCAATCTTAATTGATCTCTAATCTACCAGCATTACTTCACGTTCCAAAAGTATGAACTCATTAACTCAAAATGGTGATTGTGGCTCGCAGCCAGAAGAAACCAAAACGGTTACCACAATTGATAGTATGATCGATACTAAAATTCTCAACCCTGATGATTCGGCAACAACTAACAACTTCAGTTTCTGATCACCCCCGAGCTTCGGCTGACATTGCCGTACAAGAAGTCAGCACGTACCTAGCTCTCTCAGGCATGCAGTTCGCACAGATATTTTTAGGCAGCATGGCCAATGTGTATCAAATAGACACTATTAATGAAATTATTTTCATATTTGCTTTTTTTCCACAATGGAAGTATTTTTATGTGTTTAATTTTAGAAAAAGCTAATAGATCAAGTATGAGCATATATTTAGTTTTAAAAAGAACAAAACACACTGTTTCAAAATGCATATACGATGAAATAGAGAAGAAAAAGAGAAGAAAATTGAAAGTGAAAGTCGCTGTTCCTTCTAGATCAAATACTGTATTCTCTCGATGTTGTACTCGTTGCCGGTGAGTGATTTTGTGGCGATGGTGGTGTATCAATAGTATCGTATGGCAAATAAGTAGATTGTAAACCGGCGACGGGTCGTCGCGTCAATGACTGAACAGTTTTCTTCAGATTATAATGACTTGATGATGAGATTCCTGTTGAATGAAATGTCTTCAGATGATTCGTTGTTGTTGCTGTTTCAATTGAAGATTGATTAATTAGCGTAACTGTTTTATTTGGATATAAGGATGTTTCTCGTGGAGTTGGTATGGCATAGTCGACACTTGTTGAACTGAGACTACCCGAACGATGTTGTTCAGTGAGAAGAGGTTTGGCTACACCGTGTGTACTTGAACTTGATCGTGATAATTCATTACTTCCATAGCAACTGTCTTCGGAGCTGGCAGCACAGCCCGAAGCATTAATATCTTCGTACGGTTGGTGAAGATGGTGTCCAGTCAATTTCTATGAAGAAAAGAGGAAGATTATGCAACTTAATAAATATGAATCCATGCATAAAATATGCCCGTTCTGCTCGTTTTAGTCGCTGCCATTTCCCTTCGGATCATTTCAAGTTAATTGGCTTCGATATGTGAGAGATGCACTCACACATCAACATTCTTTACGACTAATTTCCGTGATGTAGAACAAGAAAGAAAAAGCTAATCGCTGTAAAGAAGTATTTACTATCTACACACATTGCGTAATTGAATTGGTAAAGCTATTAGAACAAGCTTGACCATAGTTCATTTTCTTTCTTGCATTCAGGTTCGTTCTCTTCTCAGTTTGACTAATCAGTCAGTACGAGCTGGCAATGAGGTTTTCTTTTCTTCGTCTAGTAAAGAAGGCTTAGAGAAGGTTGTAGTATTGTTCATAAGCGTGAAAAATAGTTTCAAGGTAAAGCAAACACCAAGAGATTAGAGAGAAGAAAAGGATGACCTTTGAAAGAAATTATCCGACATGACATAACGCCCGTAAGTCAGCTTACTTTATTAGTTGAAGAGAAAGTATTCGTATTATTTGTTGAAAGAAGTTTGTCAGCATCCGTCGATTGAAGTGATTCACATGGTGTTTTTAATGATGATCGATGAATATGATGACATCGTTTTTGTTTACAAAAAACAGCACATAGAATGCCCATTATTATGCTGAAGACTAATGTAACTATGGATGATATAATAACGACAATAATCATTTCGTTTGTAACAATATTCTCATCGACAGCTAATTGTTTTTCAGTGACATTTTCTTCTGAGTAAAACAAATCGTTGACATTTTCACCAATTTGGATGTTGATGATCGTTGTCGAACATTTTTGTAATGATTCACCTTGATCACATACTTTGACCGTTAAACGATGGTGACCTTGTGGTAAATTCTTTGTCTTAGCTGTTATTGTTCCATTCATGGAATTCATTTGAAAATAGTTATGTTGATTTCCATCGCTGATGCCGTATGTTAATTGACCATTCCTACCTGAGTCTTTATCTTTGGCATTGATTCGTGCAATCATGATTATTTCCGAAGTATTCGTGTGTAACATTTGACTTGGAATTTGAATCGACGAAGATGAGTCCATCATTGGTGCATTATCATTGACATCAGTTAATTCAACGATAACAATTGTATGAGTAGAATGAAGTCCATCGTTATCTTTCGCAGTGATATTCAACCGATAAATGGCAACAGTTTCGTAATCGAGTAGAACTTTGGTATGTAATTGACCAGTCAAATGATCAATGTAGAATGTATTTTGATACTCCGGAGTCGATAATTTGTAGTCAATTGTCGAATTCGAATCTGAATCAATTGCGCTCACTTGACCAATCAACGTTCCAACAGGAACATTTTCCGGTATTCGAAATGAATATGAACTCTGTTTAAATACGGGTTCGTTGTCATTAGTGTTATTGATATGAATAACCAACGGTTGAATAGTTTCCAATCGCTTAGGATTGGTGCCATGATCGGAAATGTTTAGAACCAGATAGTAGACCGATTTCATTTCGTAATCAAATGAAATCTGTCCGACAGAAAGTATGCCCGTTTGAGAATCGATCCGAAAAAATCGTGAATCATTCGATGGTAGTAGTGAATAAGCCAACAGACTATTCGGAGTATTCGGGGCATCGAGATCTCGAGCATGGAGCTGAATTAATTGAACATTGTAGGGGTTATTTTCGTTGATATAAATTGGCTTGGGGAATGGATCAAGCATTGGTGAACAATCGTTAATGTCAATCAAACGGATGGTGAGATTCTTTTGCGTTTTTAACGATTGTTCGACTCCTATGGCGAATACAAAATCGATGATAATCAAAAAACGAGTCAAATCTTACCTTGATCAACAGCTTCGAAGATTAGCTGATATTCTTCTTGTTTTTCTCGATCTAATCGACCGATAACAATTAGATTATACAAATCATTGTATTGTTCATTTAATTGAAATAAATCTTGGTAGGTTAATAATCTCAATAGGATTTTCCCGATACCTGAATCTTTGTCGCTGACACTTAGATGAAATAAACGTGTGTGAAGTGGTTGCTCTTCTTCGATTTGAAAAAGATTCTTTTGCGGATTATTATCGGGTAAAATCAAATCGATATCTGGCGGACAGTCATTCACATCGAGAATATCAATTTGAACTTGAGCGTAAACACTAATCGCGTCCGGTCCGTTATCACGTGCGCGAACGCTAAAATGATAATTCGTTTCATATTCATAATCCAACGCTTGAATCAGTCTAACAGCTCCTGTTCGAACATTGATCTCAAATGGAAACGATGACGATGGATTATCTGTAACAATGGTATAGTTAATCAATGCATTTAAACCTTCGTCATTATCGTATGCGTGTATATGTAACAGTTCACTTCCAACCGGAATATCTTCTCGTACTTTGATATGGTATTGGTCGTGTTCAAATTTCGGTACATTATCATTGGAATCGAGAATGTGAACATCTAACAGTAGTTCACCTGTGTGTTCGCCATCACTGGCGATCACTTTCATTTGGTAGAGATTTTGTTGTTCGCGATCAAGAGATTTTAGTAAGCGCAAGCCCAGTTGATTCTCTGTTTGTAAATTAACAATTGTAAACGTTTCATTATCAGATGGATTCAATGGTACAAGGTGATATTCAATATGATCTTGATAGTCTAAATCAGTTGCCGAAGGAAACGAACTGACATGACCGATATCCGTACTTTCCGATAGACGAATTCGAAATGAAGAGACAGGAAATATCGGTTGATTATCATTAATATTTTCAATGGTGATTTCCAACGAGAGAATATCGACAGTTTGAGATGATGCAATTAATTCTAATGTTAAAAGACATCGATCACAATTGCAAATGTGTGTCTGACATAGTTCTTCGCGATCGATCATACGCTTGATCGAGATTCGGCCAGTCAAAGAGTCAACGATGAAGAATGAATTGTGTGGACTCGTGTCGGATAGGAAAGCGAATTGGATTAAGTTCTTCGATGTTGATGGATAGATTCGACTTAGATCATAAATGGATGTACCTATCGAACTTTGTTCATGCAGAGATATAGGTGGTAAACGTTGAATAGCAGCGCGAATGGATTGAATAAGAAGAAGAAGAGTTAGTAAAAATAGACTTATCGACATGTTCATATGAAATCTAAAAGTAAAAAGAAAAGGAAACATTTAAAGAATAAGTTGTACTTTTCTTTCCAGCATGAAGAGGAGAGGGAGAGAGAAGAGTTCATTGCACTCGAATGAAAGAAACAAAGAAGAATAAGAAGAGAAGAGAAAAATCGGTGACATTGTATATTTATATGAGCAGAGATTTCGGTGACTAACCTAATATCTTTTCATTGTTCAAGATTGTATCGCACGGATGTGTATATCTATAGACAAATCTTTTGATGATGTGCTCCACCCAATTTTCGTATTAATAATTGCTGTGATACGCAAGTGTTAATGTTCATCCTTACAATCGTGATGTCTTTCTTTCCTTCTCTTTTTTTTCTCGTTTGGCGCTTGTAAATAAGTTCGAGAACAAAGAGAGAATGATGTATATTGCACACTCGCCATACAAAGTAACTTCCTCTCCGGAAGAATGAATATGTGTGCATCTGAACTCTGCGATGTGATTTCTCAGTGAGGAGACAAAGTAAAGATTAACTGATGATGATTGATTTTAATACGACTAGCGAATGTGATGAATGACAAAAAATGAAACGTTAGATTTTAGTAATCGGATCGAATTAGTGACGGTGGTCGTCTGACGAAATCTAAAGCTTGATAGACAGACAAGAAGTAGTGTCAATTCGTCTTCTCATCCAATTATGCAAAAGAAATTTATCTATCATTTAGAGAAGACAATGTCTTAATTGTATGCCATACAATGATCAAGGAGACCACATGCACATATGCACAACACTTCTCTCCTTACAACAATAATTCAATGCTAACAGGAGGAAAGCTGTCTGATCAGTAATGTGTACATCGCTTGTCACTTGATAAAGAATATTTGATGTGTTCATGTAGACACGAATTCGATGATGTCTAGGCGAAAGAATATACTGACGTTCGAATTATCAATTTCGAATCCTCTACATGTATCCAATGTACATAGACATTCACTGAACAAATTAAAGTTCAGGGACAATATGACATGCATACATATAGAAGATAAATTATTTCATTTTCACATGAGATACGTCTTTCACGCCTAATTTGCACATACGTGATGAACAAATCGTATGCAATGAATAACCTAAAACTACTTAGAGATAGAGATACATGTATGCGAAGACAGACAGACAGACTTCCATTTCTAATTGCAATCGAGAGAGAGCGAGAACTGTTTATTAATGATAATGATGTTTATGAACAAACCTATGCTCGATGAGTCGATTCAATTCCAATTAAATGATTGATACTTAGTTGAACATTCGCACCGCCTCTATCCTAACCTACATTCTTTTCATCACATTTGATCATTATGTTCGACTTCGCTGATATTCACGCGCAGATATTTTCGGATGACAAAATCTGTAGATAGAAGCCGATAATCAAACGAATGATCGTATTTGTTGAGTCGACGTTCAGACAAGCAGAAGAAGACGAGATATGCGGTTCAATGGGTGAACACTATCTGATAACAAACGATTGGGATAAGAATATGTAACAAACGAAACCGAAAAGATTTTCACAGACCGTGTATATATATACATATACGCAGAGAATGACCGTAGGCGAATGATTGATCTTAACTGACTTATCATTCTATCTGATCATGACTTACTCCTCTTGTTTTTCTGCCTCTAGCTAAAGCAAACAAACTGAAATTTCTTTATTGAAATTATGCTGTTTCATCTTCGAAGTGCGCACGGAAGAGTCATCCATCGATAGATCGCATTAACTAATATTGAGTGAAATGATGTTTGTAGACAACAGATGTTTATCGAGAGTAAAGAGTTGCATGCTGCTACTTCAAGTTACTCTTTTTTTGTGCTCTCCTCGACACGAAGAACAACTGACCCCGATGATCATGAATAGAGTAAAGTCTTACTTGATTAAACGGACAATAAATTCGAATGAGATTGAAATGAGCGATATGGCGACAATTGACTAATCAAATATCAATCACTTTCTCTACTTCAGAAAGAAGATCATTCTCATCTGTATTCGGGCAGGTATTGACTACGAATCAAGTATCAGTATCGAAGGTCAAGTGAACAGCACACAGCATGACTGTAACCTTTTCTGATCATCCCCGTCGTTTGTCAAATATAGCTGAAGTACAAATTGGAGTGGATACGAAAAAAGCAAAACAAAGACGAGAGTGGAGAAATGAAAAACAAACTTGCGCTCGTTCAAGCCTGTCATGATCTTGATCTCATTTGTATTCAACAAGAGACAAGGTCAGAAGTATCGAGGAGAAAAAAACAAACGTGACGTCGAAGACGAAAAGAACTATAAAGCTTAAATCCGCTTGAGGGAAAAACGGAGAGTCTCATCATCAAATAATGACTCTAGTCATTAGTTAAATGAGAAGATTATGATTGTTGCAATTTTGATCTCTTTAATTACTTTCCTGTTGTTTTTTACTCAACGATTATCTGTCTGCGCAGGTGATGCATGCATAGATCTGTTCAATTTGAAGTAAAAGAGAGAATAGCTGAGCATGAATAGAATGCATTTCATTTTGTGATAATAATAGTTGGCCATTCTATCTGAGTGAATTGCTTCCACGACACAAATTTTCGGATATGATTAGTAAATAAAGAGAAAAATTAATGCAAAAAGATAATGTCTACCCTCTTATTGAAAAGAATAGTATGGAAAATACACATAACAAAGAAGAAGGCAAAGGAAACGAATCGTCTACGGTTACTTTTCTCTCTCTCTCTTTTGCTAACTGTTAGACTTGTCCATCGACAAGGAGAATCAGACTAGTGTTGAATGACACGGCATGTTCATACATGAGTGAAGACTTCCAGACGTATATTTTATTAATGATGATGAGTACGTACTCGTTGAGAAACGGAACACGGACATACGACCTCGAAAAAGAGAAATCAATGAACGAACAGTAATATAAGAGTTTATCTTGAAGAAGTTTTTCCGGCGATTGTCTTAGTCATACTTTATTTCGTGTCTATTCAATACAAGTCGTAGTTCCGTCCTAAGAACTCAATTAGGAATTTGTTTTGCATACTTCTAATGGACATCGTTTTCTTTTTGAGAGTCTCTTCTCTTCGCTAGGCTCATCATTCGACTCAAGCTTTTATCATCGAAACAAGGCTAAGTGGTCAGCATTCATCTCGTCTTTCATTTGCTAGTGCCCATGTCAACTCTGTACTTACTCCCTTCCTTTCAATTGAAATTCACTTTGTTCTTATCAAAACACATGTGCATGAATACACTTTTCCTCCCAACTCTTCTCATTCGATATGATTTAACTTAATTTTTTTTTTGCATTGTGCTCTTTGACTTCTATTGATCGATGTTTTTCAATGAAATCTACATATATAATCTCGATACGACTTAATCAATGTCAACTGTCACCTTTTGTATACGATTGATTTCTTCTGAACCAAGATTACTAACCTTATTTACATATGTTACGTACCTTCGT